CATTATTCATTTTCATTAAAATGACAAATAACGATTTATTTAAGTTAACTAATCATTGGACAAATGATGTTTTTTCCTTGTACCAGAGGTTATCAGCATTTCGTACTGATGACCTTATACGCGAAATTATTGATTTCGTTTGAAGTTTTCCTAATAAGTTTTGCCGAAATAAGCGCTGATAATAGTTGAATGGATGTGTACATTAGACTTTCGGGGTCAATCTACTTAGTATAATAAGTTGCAAAGTTCAGTGATTAATAAAAAATTCTCATACTGACCAGCAGCTATCTGACCTGGATATTGATTAAAAATTATATATGCTATGAAATAGATGCCCCCTTTAGTCTCTATAAATTATATTTAGGCGAACCAAGTTTGTCGACCGAAGCTGCTACCTTGACGTGGTGGTCGGGCTTGACTATCGTGATGACCCAACCGAGCTATACTGGCTGGAACACATGTTCCTGCAGGTCCTACCATGCCAGGCAGGTCGATTGGAGAACGATGAGACTAAAAGCAGCTACCCAAGGTCTGAGGGCGAAGTCGTACTGCTGACTGCAGAGGGGTGTGACAGCAGTAAGGTGTTTCCCTCGGACAACCAGCATCTGCAGCGATGCTGCCTTCTCACAAGGAAGGAAGGGTTAGAAAAGGTCGGCCCTAAAAATGTCACACCTCCCCTACCTCACGGATTTCCGTCTCCTTGGGTAAAGGTGCCCACTAAGGGCCTTTAAGAACGGAGCTAATCCTCAAAAAACATTCCTTAAAAAGGCCGTGCGTGACCGGCCTCAAGCAGTTGTCCCTTGGACTCTGCGGTCACGCACCAACACTAATCCATCTTCCTTTTCAGGTTCGTCAAGAAACAACCTTCCACGGTGTGGGCAGCCGGGAAGTGATAACCGCCCTCATACCCGCAACAGCACACGAGACAAAATTGTTCAAAATCAAATCCTTCCTACATTCCCTAATACCTCTCTTATCTCCACAACTAACTCTTCTCACATTCATTTATTACAGTGCACAGCTAATGCAAACGATGCGAGTTTGCGAAACGTCGTTCCTGGTCTCCTTAAACCCCGTTCCAAACTACATGTTGGAGCATTCAATGTACGGACATTGTGTCAAATAGGGCAACAGGCATCATTAGCTAGGACTTTAGAATCTCGTTCCATCGATGTGTGCTGCGTCTCGGAAACGCGCATACAGGATCCGAGTAGCATCACTCATTTGACCTCACCATGTCAAGATAAAGAAGCAGCTCGATTTACCCTTCGTGTATCCGGTAGCCCTGATGCTGCTTCTAGGGGCCTCGCCGGTGTAGGTATAGCATTGAGTCGTAGGGCAGAACAATCTCTCCTTGACTGGATCCCTGTAGATAGTCGCTTGTGCGCCGTCCGACTCAACGGGACAGTAAGGACTCGGAAAGATAGGGACACTCGCCGTTGCCTCTTCGTCATATCGGCCTACGCCCCCACTGACTGCAGCCCAGATGATGTAAAAGATGAGTTTTACAGAAAGCTTTCGGACCTCCTCCAAAAAGTTAAGCGCTCTGATATAGTTATAATGGCTGGTGACTTCAATGCACAAGTAGGTAGACTAAGTGAAAATGAAAGACACCTAGGTGGATGTTACGGTCTCGCGGCTCAAAGAACAGACAATGGCGACCGTCTGTTGCAACTGTGCTCAGATAACCAACTATTTCTAGCAAACACTAATTTTAATCATAAGGAAAAACACCTTTTGACCTGGCGACCTCCAAAGTCGTCTCAACGTTGGACACAACTAGATCATATCGCCATCAGCCACCGATGGAGGGGTTCGATAGAGGACTGTCGCTCGTTCTGGGGCACATGTTTAGATTCAGATCATGCCCTAGTGCGAGCACGTATCTGTTTGAGGCTTACTGGACGTAGGAAAGGCGCCGTAAGGAAGCCTCTTAGGGCTTTACTTGATGATAATCAAGCTAAGAAAATATTTCAGGAGGAACTAGAAAAACAGTTAGGCGGCCATGCAAGTGATTCCCATCCGGAAGCAGGATGGAATGATATCAAGAAGGCTGTGGAAACAGCAATGGTATCTGCTAGCAGGGTAAACCACAAGGCTAGGATGAAGCCGTGGATATCAGTCGCATCCACCAAACTGATGGATGCTCGAAAACGCATCCCACCTGACTCTGAACATGATGAAGAGCGTAGTCAGCTTAGGCGCAGACTTATAAAAAGTCTACGTAATGACCGCGAACAGTGGTGGGTGGCGAAAGCAAAAGCGATGGAAAAGGCAGCGGCGATAGGCAACAGTAGACAACTTTTCCGCCTTATCAAAGAAACCGGTATTAGGAACCCGAATGTAAGTGAGACTATCTCGGAAAAGGATGGTCTTATTATCCATTCTCAATCTAGGAGGCTGGACCGATGGGCAGAACACTTTAGGGATCAGTTCAACTGGCCTTCAGCCACTCTTCGGTTGCCCACGATCTCCAGTCATCCTGAATGGCAAATCGATTTAAGTCCTCCCAGTTTACATGAAGTTGAGAAAGCTATAGGAAATCTAAGGAGAGGTAGAGCGGCAGGTCCCGATAGGCTTACCCCTGAGATGTTTAAGGATGGTGGTCCAGTTTTAACGGTTAAACTGACCGAGATCCTAGGTAGAATCTGGGAAATGGACGTAATCCCATCTGACTGGTCTCAGTCGCTAATTGTCCCAATCTACAAGAAAGGACAGAAGTCCTCTTGTGACAATCACAGGGGAATAAGTTTAACTAATATAGTTTCTGAATTGTTAGCCTCGATTATACTTAGACGTCTAACTAGAGCTCGCGAAGAGCAGACTCGAGAAAACCAGGCTGGTTTTCGACCTGGACGTGGTTGTATAGACCACATCTTCACACTACGACAGGTCCTGGAACACAGACACACATTTAGACGTCCGACAATAGTCGTGTTCCTGGACCTTAAGGCGGCATTCGACTCAGTGGATCGTGAGGTTCTGTGGCAGTGTCTGTCATTGAAAGGTGTACCAAAGAAGTACATTAACCTTATACAAGCACTCTACTCGAACACCACTGGTCGGGTGAGAGCATATGGCGAACTGTCATCTGAATTCTCTACATCAAGTGGTGTCCGTCAGGGCTGTCCACTCTCTCCATTCTTGATCAACTTTGTCGTAGACATCCTCTTAGAGTTAACATTAAGCTCGTCAGATTTTTCAGGGGTTGACCTTCTACCAGGAAAGTCGCTTACTGATCTAGAATATGCCGATGACATAGTTCTATTCGGTGAAGACGCTGACAAAATGCAGAGTCTTCTGACTACCTTAAGCAACAATGCAAGCATGTTCGGGATGCGGTTTTCCCCCTCGAAATGCAAAATGTTGCTTCAAGACTGGGTTGCATTGGCACCTGAACTAGTGATAGGGAGTGAAGTAGTCGAGCATGTTGATCGCTTCACTTATCTGGGGAGTCTCATCAGTGCTGACGGTCTGGTGACTGACGAAATCTCAGCTCGGATACAGAAAGCTCGATTGGCTTTTGCCAACCTGCGTCACTTATGGCGTAGGCGTGATATCCGTTCGCTAACCAAAGGGCGGGTGTACTGCGCAGCAGTTCGTTCCGTTCTCTTATATGGCTGTGAAACATGGCCGTTAAGAGTAGAAGATGTTCGTAGGTTACTAGTATTCGATCATAGATGTCTTCGAAGCATTGCTCGTATATCGTGGGACAGCCGAGTAAGCAATGCTGTCGTTAGGAAACGAGTACTAGGTAAGGTTGGCAGATCAATCGATGAAGTGGTGAAACTTCATCAGTTGAGGTGGTTGGGACATGTGTTACGTATGCCTAACCACCGACTGCCGCGACGAGCTATGTTTTGTGGTGTAGGAGTAGGTTGGAAGAAAGCTAGGGGCGGCCAGACCAAAACATGGCACAAATCCATGAAGTCACTGACAAGTGGACTGAGTCATGTTGGTAGATGTAGACTACGTGGTTGGGGTCCGCGAGACGAAAGTCATCAATGGTTAGAGACCTTGAACGACATGGCTCAAAATCGTTTGCAATGGCGCAGGTGCATCCACTCTTTGAGCTCTCTCAAATCCTAATCTTCTGGATTAGCCAGCACCTCTAGCTTTCTCTTTCTAACCTTATCTCACTGAATTATATTTTTTGAATAATATCTTAAACCCTAGTCTTCTTTATTATAACATTAATACCTCTACAATCTTTATCACTATGGGATTTGATTTGACATTTGCGTCTCTGTGCTAATAATGTGGTATGGCAACATGAACTTATGTACATACGTACGAAGTTCTACGTTGCAACTGACTGACTGACTGACTGAACCAAGTTTGTGTGACAGGG